GGCTGCCGAGCCGCCGCCGGTGCTGCACCTGCCTGCCATCCAGCCGCCGCCGCCCGTGTTGCCCGGGCCTTTTTTCATGCCGTCCGACCGCTCCACGGAGCGCTGCGAGACCGTGCTGGAGGGCGAGACCATCTCGTGCTTCGTGGTGGGCGGCGAGAAGCGCCTGTGTCTGCCGCAGATCCTCAACTCGGTGCTGCGCGACTTCTCGCTGCAGCAGATCAACTCGGTGTGCGACGAGCTGCACATCTACTGCTCGCGCTGCACGGCCGACCAGCTGGAGATCCTCAAAGTCATGGGCATCCTGCCCTTCTCGGCGCCCTCGTGCGGGCTCATCACCAAGACGGACGCCGAGCGCCTGTGCAACGCGCTGCTGTACGGCGGCGCCTACCCGCCGCCGTGCAAGAAGGAGCTGGCCGCCAGCCTGGCGCTGGGCCTGGAGCTCAGCGAGCGCAGCGTGCGCGTGTACCACGAGTGCTTTGGGAAGTGCAAGGGGCTGCTGGTGCCCGAGCTCTACAGCAGCCCGAGCGCCGCCTGCATCCAGTGCCTCGACTGCCGCCTCATGTACCCGCCGCACAAGTTCGTGGTGCACTCGCACAAGGCCCTGGAGAATCGGACCTGCCACTGGGGCTTCGACTCGGCCAACTGGCGGGCCTACATCCTGCTGAGCCAGGACTACACGGGCAAGGAAGAGCAGGCGCGCCTCGGCCGGTGCCTGGACGACGTCAAGGAGAAGTTTGACTACGGCAACAAGTACAAGCGGCGGGTGCCGCGGGTGAGTGTCCCGCCGCCCACCGGGCCTGGGCCTGGGGCGTGGGAAGGGCGGGGCCCTCCTGGGCCAGGGGTTGTGTCCTGTTCTTCTGCCTCCCCCACGTATCTCAGAGTTTTGTTTCGCTCTAAGGAAATTCAGGGTAGCGCCAGTGTCCCCACAGACAGCCCGGGAGGAAGGGCTTCCTGGCTGATCTCTGGGACCAGGTTTGCTGGTTGGGGGTCCTGGGGGGGCCTGGAGCAGGCCTGGTGGATGAAGCCTTCCCAAGGCCCACAGCCGTTGTCCAGATGGGCTGGGAAGGGCAGGCTTCAGACCTCGGACTCTCTCGCCCTAAGTCCCGGGAAGTTGGATCTGGGCGGGCCTTCCTGGGGCCTCAAGCCCAGGCCTTTCTCGGGGCCCAAGGAGGTGTCCAGACTGGGTAGGGGAGGATTCGGTCCTCAACCTAAGGCTCCAGGCTCACACACGGGTGTCTGCGTTTCCCAGCAGGCAGAACTTGGCCAGGCAGGCCCTGTTTGTGCCTTGAAGTCTTGGGAGACAGACTCAAAACTGAAGCCAGGTGTCCAGGCCGTGGTGGCAGGGGGCCGAGACTCAGTGACTCCAGCTCTGTGCGTCTGCCTTGGCCTGCCAGGGAGTGAGTCCCAGAGTACCCGTGTGGGGGCGAGGGCCACTTGGCACTGGGCTCGGGGACTGGTCACCGGGCACCTGGGGCCCTGGCTGTCAGAGGAGCTGCTGGCCTGTGATTTGTTTTGGATGTGCACGTTTCCTATCGCCTCTCTGAGACGCTGAAGGGTACGGCAGGGAGGCCGCTGGCCGAGGCTCTGTTGTTTGCCAAGAGGAGGTTCTGTGTGATCCAGCCTGGCAGCTTCCAGGCACTAGACGCCGGAACCATTCACTGGGGGCCTCACCAACTTTGCATGGCATCCCCCCATCCCTTAGTGTTTGTAACTTTTCTTTTAAACATCCAGGCTTATTAAACTGCGCACACAGAATGCTGCATCGGCTCAGCTATTCTTGGGAGGCCTAATTAATTCAGCTATTGCATCAAACTTTTTTTTCCAAATCTGTGAATAGATGCTCCCGCCCGGTTTTCTCTGGGCGCCCCTCCAGCAGAGTGTCAGAGTCTCAGGGAGCGGAGTAGGGGAGGGGAAGTGAGGGCCTGTCGCCTGTGCTCAGAGGGGGCCACCGCGTGCATTTGTGGATCTGGTGGTGCTCCTGCCCTTGGCTAGACCAGCGCCCAGGTGGCAGCTGTCTGCAGACTCTGGGGCTGGGATGGGGTGGGAGAGATGGTCTGAGCGGGCAGTGCCAGTGGGGAGGATGCTGACGGCAGACCCAGCAGGCCGGGCGGACCCTCATTTCAGACTGGGGGTTGGCTGTGTGTGGCTTGATGGCTGCTCCCTGTCAACGGGGGGCTTTTCTGTTGGGAGTGCTGGTTAGCATGGCCCAGGGGAGCCCTGTGTGCAGGATTGTGGTAGGTAAAACTGTGGCAAGTCACTTACATCCAGAGTGGACAGCAGAGGGTCTGCCTGGTGGGGTGCATCCGTCTGTGTCTCTGTCTGAATCTGGATCGTGTGTGTCCGCGGTCTCCCTGTCTTCCTGGGGTTGGCTTTTTGTCTCAGCTGCACACCTGGGCCTAGGCTCTCTTGTGGCAGCCCTTGCTGTTCTGAACACAGGTGTTCACAGGCTCAAGGAAGGACTGGTCTGGAGCTTGTGGGCTGAGGCACTGCCTAGGGAGAAGGCAAGGATGGTCCCCTGAGCCACAGTCCCAGAGAAGAGGCCGGAGCGTACTTTCACCCTGGTGATGTCAGCAGATGGTCAGCACTCCTTCAGTGCTCTCCCTGCTGCTGCTCAGGAATCATTTCTTAGTTAGAGGAACCTCCCCCGTGATGGTGAAAATGTGATCGTTGTAAGAGGCTGGAGTCTCCAGGCCTAAGTGTCAGCCCTGCCCTGTCCTCACAGTGGTGGCCTGGGCTGGTGGGCCTGCTGCTGGCCTCTGCCGTCCGCCAGTCACTCAGAGCTCCTGGGTGCTGTCTTGCCGGCTCCCCCCCCTCGGGGGGCACTCTGCCCACCAGCCTTGCCCGGTTATCCTCTTCTCGGGGCTCTGCCACTGCCTTGGTTCATGCGTTTGGGAATTCTGTGGCACACGGTCCTTTTCAGGTCTCCCCGGCACAGCTGTGCGCCTGTCTGGTTACAGGCTGGAGGCACCCTGTGAGGAGGGGGATGTCAATTTCAGGGTGGCTGCCAGACCCTACTTGTGGATGAAGCTGCCAGGGAAGACCCCTCTCCAGCACCGTGTCTATCTGTTCCATCCTCCCACTGCAGTTTGACAGATTATTCTTGGGACGTGTTTTGACTTAATTATTTGTCTTATAGTTTATTTTAATACTTTTGATTTGCTGAGGATGAGGACAGAGGAAACAAAAGATGTGCTGGGGCAGCCCTTTGTGGGGATGCGCCTCCCCTGGGTCTTGCTTGGTGACGTGAAGTGAGCCAAGTGGCGCCCTGGTCCCCCTACAGCACTTCTCTGCCGTCGGCATGGGCGGGGTTGGTGGCTGGCTCGGGACTTCAGTGCTGTCCTGGTGCCTGCTTGCTCTTGCGCGCCCTGCTGTGCCTGCGGCCCGACCACAGAGGGCTGGCGGTTCTGTGGTTGCCCCAGCGTGGAGCTGTGTTTGCAGTGGGGCTCCAGCTTTGAGCCTGGAAACGCTGTGCAGACGGCGAGTTCAGGTGTGCAGGCTGGGGTCCCTCCTCAGTGATCCCCACCCTGACGTCACAGGGGCCCAAGGAAGTGCTCTTGGCTGTCCCATGGCTGTCGGGGCCATGGCGCCCTGGCTGCTTTCCTTGGGGGTCTTGCAGTGGCCGGTCTGGCTCTGGAGCCCTGCATCCTCACTCTGTCCCTCGTGGGCCACGTGCCCTCGAGCGAGTTGCTTGACCTGTTTGTGCCTTAGTTTCCACAAGTGTGAAGTGGGCACCTTAGGAAGTAGCGGCCGTGGACAGCGTTTGTTTGTGGGGTCTTAGCGGTTGAGTGTCATGGGCAGGGCGAGGACTTGTTTTCTGCTGGGATCGTGTGGTGAGACACAGGAACCTTGGAGCCTTCCCCACGCCCACGGTTGGCTCTGTCCCTTCCTCCGGTGCTTGTCTGACGGCGTTGGGACTGAACAGGACTGATGTTTAACGGGATAGATCGCGCTGTCGGCGCGGCTGCTGGCTGGGACGTGGCTTTCCTGTGGGGGGCGCTGCCTCCTGGGGTGGACGGCACAGGGTCGGCCCTTTGCGGTGGGGTGATGGGCTCCTTGGAACGGCTGCTCCTGAGCGGCCTGATCCTTGGACTGGAGAACCAGGATCGTGCCCGTTTATTGTATGTCTGTCCTCAGGACGCCAGGTTCTCGGAGGAGTCGTCTTCATGGAACTAACTGCCCGATCTGCACGGCAGGGGCGTGGGCTGGTGGCGGGCAGCGGGCAGCGTGGGCTTCCGCCGTGGGATCCGTGTATGTTCTAGTGTTGAAAGCGGTATTTTCTCTGAGAGGAGACCTGGCCAGGCCATCCAAATGGAGGAGCACCGAGTCCCGCGGGCCCTCTTGGGGAGTGGGGGATCCTGGTCCAGGGACATTCTCTAAGGGGGGGTGCGAGTCGTACTTCTGAGCTGAAGTGACCACGAGAAGGAACGACATCAGGACCGTCCGTCAGGCTGGGACGGACTCTGACCAGCGTGCTTCTCCGACACCTGCTCTTTGTCCGGGCGCTGTGCTCACCTGGGTACCGGCAGATTTGGGCACAGATGGAGAGGTTGCACTGTCCCTTGGTGCAGTTGCTTTGCTCTGGGTTTTCATGGGTCCCATGGTGATTTCCTGGCTTCAGGTGCTTGGGTGAGAAGCTGGGGTGCCAACCTGGGTGACGCTCTGAGGCGGGGCTCCTAGATGGATCCCACACCCATGTCCTGAAGGATGGGGTCTGTGAGTCCATCTGGTCGCCAGGGTGAAGGCTGCAGAGTGAAGGTGGGGGATCTTCTCAAACGAGGAGGCAGTTTGAGCGAGGCCTCTGGTTTCTAACCCGTGGTTGGCGTGTATGAGGGAGGGAGGGCGTGGGGGGCCGGGCACCCTCCTTCTGTGCAGTGAGCAGAGCCCTTGCCATGGTCTCCAAGCCTGGGCCATCAGCTTATCTGTGCATGTGCCATCTTCAGCTGTCCTGCTGGTTTCCAGGCTCCTCCTTGGAGCTGGGCAGGGGCCCTTGCCTTCGAGGTTTCCCTGGGGCCGGTGTCTTGCCTTGGGGCAGCAGGTGACTGAGTGGCTCTCGCCCCTGTCCCCGCTGCCCCTCCGGGGCCCCTCAGTCAGTGCAGGGCTTTGAGGGTAAGGCCATCAACTCCCCACCTTCCTCGCAGTCCATCTGTGTGCCACTCCCTGTGACTGAACCCTGCCCCGCACCCTGGCCCTTGGGCGGTGGGAGGGTCCGGGGGAGGCGGTGCTTCCGGGCCCTGCACCCTGGCTGTCTGGCGGGAGGTGGCCGCAGCCGGCGGCCGGACTCTCTGTGGCCCAGAGACTGTTACACAAGCAGCAATAATGTGTCTCTTTCTAAGGATTGCGAAAGTTGGGGAGGATTTCTCCACTGGAAGAATTATGCAAGTTTCAACTGAAATGTTTTTAAAAAGTTTCTTTGTTGTGAGTCAAAATACAGAGGCCGAATTATTTCCTTCAGATCCGAGAGGGCTGGAGAAGTGGGGCTCCTTTCTCCCGAGGGCCCTTCCTCCTGCCCCGCCAGTCGCCGGGGACACTGCGGGCACACCAGGTGGGGGGCCGTGAGATCACGGAGAGCTTCTCTGCACATGTGGTGGAGATGCGCCTGGCAGGTTGGAGTCGCAGAGAAGGGACAGGAAGCCGTTTCCTGGGAGTGGGGGCCCCCTGTGGTGGGTGGCTCCTCCCTGCCGGGGCCATGAGTAGTCTGAAGTGGGTTTCAGGTGGTGTGGGTTAGAGCTGCAGACGATGTCTGTGAGAGCAGTGTGGGGCAGGTGGGGGACTCGGGGCCGTGTGTCCGCCGTGTGGCCTGCCCAGCGTGGCCCAGGTCCCCCCAGACTTTCCTGACCTCGGAGTCCAGGCCCCCAGAGCGACCAGGTGCAGTTTGTGCAGGTGAACTCAGGAAGCACGTAGCGTGCTCCAGGGTGGGCGAGGGAGCAAACTACAGCCTTTACGCAGCTTTTCTGTGACTAGAGGTTGGGGTTGTAGAAGCTCTCTGCTTTTAGAGCTCTGAGGGCACCCTGGAAACAGCCAAGGTGCCGTCTGGGTATTTGGCATTTGTGTCTTTTCTGATACTATTTTTTGTGTATGTATATTTATTTGTGCGTGTACGTGTCTATTGAAGTACAGTCAGTTGTGTCAACTTCTGGTGTACAGTATAGTGCTTCAGTCATACGTGAACGTACGTACTCGTTTTCATGTTGTTTTTCACCGTAAATTACTGCGAGAGAATGAGTAGAGTTTCCAGTGTGAATACAGTATGAACTTGTTTATCCATTTTGTACGTATTAGTATTTCCAAATCTTGAACTCCCGATTTATCCCTTCCTGATTTTACTTTTTGACTTAGAAAGATTCAGAGAGTGCTCTGACTTCTTGATTTTGCAGCTACAGATAATAATTCAGGAAGTCTTGGCGTGACTCCGTGGGCCGCACAGCCCACAGCGGTCTGGGTTCTCCGGGGAGCCCTGGCTGCGGCCGGCCCTGGGGGTTGTGTGTTTGTGGTTGTGTTGTTGGCTTCGTGGGGGTGGGGGAGTTCGGTCATGGCCGGGTCCCCAGTTCCGGGCCCGGAGTAAATACTTGTTGAATGACTCACAGAAGCCTGAAATCACTAGGTGTCAGGGTTTATTGGCGGCTTTGCTCTTGACGGCTAGAGGAGACGGCGCCTTTCTCGGAGAGGAGCAGCCTTTCGGATGTTGGGCATCCTCGTCCTCTCTCAGATCTGCAAGGGCCGCTGGGGCCTGACGCTGGGCCGTTGCCTGGGGGGTGATGCGAGGGTGCCCCCCACTCTGGCTCTACCTGGATGGGCCTGGCCCTGCATCTACCCACACTTGGCCTCTGCTGGGATGCTGGCTGGCTACTTTGAAAGAAGCATCTCTGGAAATGGGCTTCCTGCCGCTATGCTGCTGGTTTGCGGAGAAAACATCGCAGGTGGGTGGCCCTGGGTGGGGGTGGGGAGGGACGTAAGGCTGGTGGGCTTGAGGGCAATTGGAGCCCAGGTGGTCTGAGGGCCCAGGATGCCAGTGCGGCTCTGGTGTGGCCCTCGCCCTCCTTACCCGGCCCCAGAGCCCACATGTGAGGTGCCAACTGGGGTGCTGACTTAGCTGTGCGCCCCAACCCCAGGTCTGATCACACCAGAAGCCTGTTGGGACTGCAGGTGGGGGAAGTGGATATGTTTTTGGGTCACTCACCAGGTATCAGGGTCCTGTGTGCCCGTGCTAGCCTCCCTCTGCCTGAGGAGCTGTCGGTTCTGGCATCCCAGGAGCCAGCTGGCTGTGACTTGGTGTCTGGGGGCCTTCCTGGAATCTGGGCCTGGAGGCACTGTCTCCACTGCACCCCACCATTCCCAGCTGGCGGGGGCATCCCCCACGCCTCTCCTGGGACACGTAGCTTGTTGGGGAGGAAGTGTGTTCTGGGAGCTGGGGGGTCTGTCCTGCTTTGTGGGCAGGAGACCATTCCCCAGCCCCCCATGCCCGTGGCCATCACGGCCACACCCGACACCAACGACCAGGAGGGCCCTGAGCCCCAGGGAGGCTGGTGGCCCACCTGGCTCTGAGGCTGGTGGATTCTGGACCACCTGCGGGACCAAGTGTCCAGGGCCAAGGCCCCGCTTCCCCCGGGAGCAGTGCCTGCTCCTTGTGCACGGCACACGTCCACTTGCTGTCACCTCAGTGTTCCTGCGTGACCCTAGCCCCATGGCTGTGGTTTGTGACTCAGGCCTGGCTGGTAGGTGAGGCATCCATGTGGCAAGTGGCAGTGACGGGCCAGCTGGCACCAGCCGCGGCCTCCCCGCCGTGTGCGCTGCCTCAGACCCGACTCCCTGGCTGTCCACGCACAGAGCTGGGGTTGGCTGGGGCGGCGCTGCCGCGTGTGGTCCTGGTGGTCCTCCTGCTGCTGGTGGTGCGGGCTGTGGTTCTCTTATGGCCCCCGTGGACACGTTTATGTCCCCAATATTGTCCTCTCTGTCAGCTTGCTGCTGCACTCCAGCCCCTGGAGTGAGGGGTGGCTGTCACCCTGCAGACCCCCCTTGCCTGTGTGGCGCAGGGCGCCTCACGCAGGGAAGACGCCAGCCACATGGGCTGGCTTGACATGGACTCTGCGCTGAAAGTGACACGGAAGCCCCTCAGCCCGAGACGTCCGCGGCCCTCCTTCTTGCTTGGGCCCTGGGTGACGGTGGGTCCTGCCCCCCACCCCGAGTCCATGCGCTGGCCGGAGCCCTTCCTGAGGGTGGCGCCCGCGGCGTCACGGTTCCAGCCTTAGGGGCCTGCCTTCTGCTCCCCCTCCCTGCATGGAGGCAGGCACGTGTGCCAGGCTGGCCTCCTGCTTGTTTGTGTGAGGCCAGTGTGGTTGTCTATTCTGGTCTGTTGCCACCTGGGGGGCGAGTGTGTGTTGATGGCAGGGCTGCTGCTAGCTGCACCCGTGGAGGAACCGGGGCAGTGGGGCCGGCGGGGCTACCCACTGAGGAGGTCGAGGCAGAGATGCTGGGCAGCCAGCAGGTGTCCAGCGGGGTCTCTGCTGGGCTGGTTGGCTGAGTGTGGCGGACGAGGGTCCCCTCCCCAAGGCTGGTGGCCCTCCCGAGGAGGGGACCCCGCACCTGGTGTGAAGTCCCCAGGGTCTCGGCCTCAGCCTGCCTTGCCCTGCTCTCCTGGATGCGGGCGGCGGCAGGGATGGGGGACGTTGGCTCTGCCTCACCTGCCTCCCACTTCCGGCGTTAGAACCACGTTGCCCAAACCATTAAAAAAAAAATGACACTCCCAAGTTGAATGATATGCAAATGTAGTCAATTAAGCGAGGGGATTTTAATTAGCAGTTTAAGTTCATGTGTGAAGTGCCTAGCTTTAATTACTTGACAGTTTTGTTGTAAATTTGCTAAGTTTTTTTTGCAGAACTATCAAAACTGTGATTTTTTTTAACATCCTGTGTGTAATAAGTGTCGCCTGGCTTGCCTGACCCTCGTCGGTTTTGTCTCCGTTTATAAAGCTCTTCAAGCTGTGAAAGCAAGGTAAGCCTGTGGGTTGGCTCCGTGTGGCTCTGGGAGTCAGGCCGTGTTCCGTGTGTCCCAGGGCTGGCGGGCGGTGGTCTCGGGGGTCTGGTGAGAGGACACGGAGAACCCTCCGCCCAGCTGGGTCCGGCCACTTGCAGTGGAGCTGGGCTGGGCAGTGTACATGGGTGTTGGGGGGTGGAAGGAGGCCTCCCTCGGAGCAGAGTGGGCTCCCCGACGGTTGTGGCTGGCCTGGCACCCAGTCTCTGCGGGACGGTCCTAGGTGGGAGCCAGAGGTTGGGGCACGCTGCTCTTTCTGTTAGATTCGTGTTGGAGTCTCCTCCCGTCTGGGAAGAATTTGCTTTACTTTTCCTGTCGCTGCTGTGGCGGTGGCCTCGTGTCCCTGGGGGTCTTCTGTGGGGGTCATTGCCCCTCAGATTCAATCACCTGACTGAGCTGCGTGCCTCTCACATAGTAAGGTTCTAAGTTTTCTCTCTTAAATGTTTAAATTTGAACTGTGATTCTTGTGATTCTTTTTATGGGTCTGTTCTCTCTTCAGGAGTCCCTGGGACAGGGTCCTGTGTCTTGGTTCACCCTGTGATCCTTGGTGGCTAAGGACTGGGTCCAGGGCTCAGCAGGGCAGTGCCACAGTGTGGGCTGCTGTCTTCGGGGCCCCAGCCTTCTGGGACCTGGGCTGGGGTGGTGAGTGGCCTGGAGAGGTGAGGAGGGGGCTCAGCAGAGCGTTGCAGAGCTTGGTGGTCGCCCTGCCTGCCTGGGCCTCTGCCTCTGCTGCTTGCACAGGGAGGGGTGCGTGGCCGTGGGGCAGGGCCAGGCCAGGTTCGCTCTTGTCACCGCCCGGGAGTGCGAGTGGCCTAAGTTCCCCTGCTCCACCGGGAGGACCAGCGAACAGCACGTTTCTTTCGGGGCCATGGTGACGTGTCTGTGGACCCAGCAGGCTGCGGTTCCCCGACGGGGAGGTTCCCGAGTGCCCTGGAGCAGAGAGGCGCTTGGCGCAGCCCACGTGCCCAGCTCCGCCGTTGCCAGTGCCGTGCTCCCTTGGGCCCCCTAGCCTCTTCCTCCGCTTTCAGTGAGGGTGCCGTGACGTTTTTAAAGCAAGTCCCAGGCATCGTCTTATTTTACATCGAAGTGTTTCTGCGTGTGATAGGTACGGAACTGCGAGAGCCAGGGCCCCCATGCCCGCCCTGCTCTTCTGCTCATGCTGTGCAGGAGCCCGGGCCACCGTGGCGTGCGGTTGAAGGGCCTGCCTTGCACACGCGCCTCTGTGTGCATGTGTACAGCCACGGAGCATTTTGAGTCATCCGTGGTGTTGAGGTTCTGGAACTTACTTAGTGCCCCGGGCCTGGGCTGCATTTCTGCCACGACAGGAGATGCTGCAGAGAGACCTCAGTGCGGCAGCGTGTGGTCCGTGGGAGGCCCCGTCCACCGCAGCCACCTGCTTCCTGCCACCTGGTTACCAGTGCGTCTGCCCATCAGGGATGCCGTCCTGAACGTGCCCCTGTGCCCAGACCTGTGTCCAGCATGGTCAGTGGTGCTCACCTGCCACCCTCACCTGGCCCTGGGTGCCCAGTCTGCTGGCCCGGGTGCTGTGTGCGTGCGCTGGCCTGTGCCTGTGTCGGTGGGCGCTGGGCCCCCGGGGTGCCCTCCAGCAGGAGCGTGGAGTGTTCCAGGTGCAGGTGTGTGCACGTGTGTCGGGAGCGCGGGCCGGACCAGGTTGCGTCACTCTGAGCTGTTCCCTGAAGCGGTTGCGCTGTCTGGTGGTCTCCTGCAGGGAGGACAGGGCCTGTGTCTCCCGGTGGCTCAGCTCAGTGTCACTGCGCTTCTCGTCGGAGATCTGGTGGGTCAGAGGGACGCACCCTGGCCTGTTTGAGATGCCTTTTTTTGTTGTTTCATTTACTCACTCAGACGCACAGTATGTGTCCGTGTGTTTCCTTTTCGTCTGCAGTCATGTGGGGCGGCTGTTTCTTCCTGAATCTGTGTACGTTTCTGGTCATTTCCTCAGTAGACTGATGGCCAGATGTGGGCCCTTTTTAAGGGTCTTTGTTTTTCTGTTTCCAGCGTTTTCTCTCACCACGTGCCGGGTACCTGCCCACTTCCCTGCCTCCCCGCAGCCTTCACTGCCGTTCAGAATACCCTTGTCAATTTGAAAGGGGAAAATCTCATTGTTTAGTTTTTTTCTAGTCGGGTTGGCCGTTTTGTTACTTTTAATATTTTTTTCCTGTAATTTGCCTATTTTTTTGTGTGTGGTGAAATATGCATATCAGAAAATTTCTTAACCATCTTTAAGGGCACAGCTCTGGGGCATTCAGCACATTCACAGTTGTGCAGCCATCACCACCATTGTTGCCAGAGCCTTCTCTTCCAAACTGAAGTTCTGTCCCTACTCAACACTCACTCCTCACCCCCCCAGCCCCAGGCCCCCACCCTCCTACTTGTTGCTTGTAGGATTTTGACTCCTCCAGGGACCTCACAGAAGTGGGGCCACACAGTGGCCTGTTGTGACGGCTTATTCCGCCGAGCGCAGTGTCCTCAAGGTGCATCCACGTGGTAGCCGTTCAGAATCTCCTTCCTCTTTAGGGCTGAATGATGCTCCACTGTGTGGCTGGGCCACGGTTTGTTTATCCACCTTCTGTAGGTGGACACCCGGATTGAATCTGTGTTTTAGCTCCTGTGACTTCTGCTGCTGTAACCGTGGGTGCACAGAGGTCTCTTCCAGGCCCTGCTTCCAGTTCTGCTGGGTGCAAACACTCGAGCAGAGTTGGGGGCTCACGTGGTCGTTCTGTGGTCGGTTTCTTGAGGAGCCTCCACGCCGTCACGCACGGCAGCTGCGCCCCAGCTCCCCGCCCCCACGTCCCCGCCAGCGCGTGCTGTTCTGGTTTTCGATAGTGGCCACCCCGACGGGCGCACGGTGGAGTCTCGCTGCGCTGCGGTTTGCTTCCCTGGAGGTCGGTGGTGCTGAGCACCTCGTGTGCGCGAGGGCCCTGCGGGTCGTCTTCGGGGAGGGTCTGTCAAGTCCTTGGTCCCTTTTGAATTGGGCCGGCTGTTTGGTTTTGCTCAGCTGTGGGAGTTCTGCCTGTTCCCCGTGCACATCACGTGGTGGGTGACTGATGCTCTGTCCGCTGTGTTCGCCGTGGTTTAGTCCTACCTGTGTGGCACTGGGACGTCAGAGGCTGGAGTGGCACAGGGCGGGGGTCCTTACCGACAGTGGGGTGCAGCCGGCAGGCCTGGGTGTGGGCCAGGTCGTCTCCTCTGGGGCGCCTGCTGTGCGCCTGGCAGGTGGCGGCCGGGGCCAGGGCAGAGCCTGCAGAGGGCCGGGGCTGGGAGCGCGGGGCGGCCTGCGCCTCCGGAGGCCTGTGGGAGAGCTGTGGGTCACGGGTGCCT